TGGCAGGAAATCCATAGCGGGAGCGTTACCGGGCGCGCACGGCGGAGCGGGCAAGGGGCCCGCGAACAAAGAGCCGCGCGAGCCCGCGGAGCCCCCGGGCTGGGCAGGGAGCGGGGCCGCGCTCCCTTTGCGGGTAGGTCAAGGTGAGCGTTGCAGTTAATAAAGTTTCTACAGAGGGACGGGACCCTCCTCTCGACCATTCCCCCCACTCCCCGCTTTGGCGCTCTCCTCCCCACCTGTGGGGCAGAGCGGGCAGTTGAGGACTGTATTTCCCAGCCCCTCGGGGCTCGTCCCGGCGCCAGAGCCGCACGTAGAGCGCACAGGGCGGCAGGGTGCCCACTCCGTCGCTCCCTGCCTGGCTCAGCAGTGCCCAAACCTTCCAGGTGGCTCCTTGCCATGTGAAGTGCCTGCTCGGAGAGTCGCTGGTGCCCCAAAGAGGGCACTCTGCTGAGTTACCCTCCCATCGGGCGCCAAGTGCTGAGGTGCTGCGCAGAGCCCAGCAAAACCTAACGGACATGGTGCAGCTACTGCAAACCGCATCCCTTTGCCTCAGCTGTCAGCTGAGCAGGATGGAGCCAGAGCCCCTCACCTTGCTTTTGGAGCAAAGGACCAAATTTCGGTCATTCTGAATGCCCAGAAGGACTCTGTCAGGCAAGCCCAGGAAAGCTGTGAAGTACATTCTCTGCAGACCTCTCTGCAGCCTCAGCCAAGCCCGTGGGTCCCTGCTCTCCTTGCTCGGCAGCTTGCTTGCAGTGAGCTGGGAAGTGGGGCAGCACACCCTGAGCACCGTCCCTTGCAGGTGGAGTTACAGCAGATGCCCCTGCCTCCCTCCTGCAGTGGCGGGGTCTGTAAAGATGCAGGGTGGGAGGGAGGGGAACACCTGCCAGTCTTCCCCTGCCTTGGCCAGGCTGAGGGCTATGGCACCAGGCAGACCCTGTGCATGGAGGCTGCTTCCAGCCCGATCCCCTCGCCCCGCTATGGTGTTGTGCAGCTGCTGTGCCAAGGATATGGAGCGGTCCCTCCCCAAAACCTGTGATCAGCCTGAACAACTTTAGACATGAGAAGGACTTTTCAACCTGTGGCTCTGTTCTGCAAGCATCAGCGAGCTGCAGCAAACAGGGCTTGGTGAACCCCAGCTGGCCCCTGACTGCAAAAGAGGGTTTTGCCTGTGTATCTAGCAGTGAGCATCAGTGTGTCCAAAATGCCATCCCCTGCTACTGTTTTTTTTTCCCAAGACTAAAGGCTCTACACAGTGTAGGTGCCTCCCTTTCCTTTCCTTTTTGTCTTCATTTAGCAATTTCCTTAAAGAATTAGCATTTGTGTTGATTCATAATGAAGGGAAGAATAGACAAGGAATTGAGATCAGAACACAGCATCAGTGTAGTGTGGAAATTTCTGGCATTTTAGTAATATTATTTATGGCATTATTATTGAAGAGTGCAGGCCTGTGTAGTTTTTTTTTGTGGTAGACCACTTTCATTAATCAGCTACTGAGTATCTTCTTATAGAGATGTTTAATGGGAAGCTAGCCTCAGCTAGTCTGACTTCTGCACAGCTGGGTCATTCTGTCCACACAGGTTCAGTTCTCCACCTGGCTTCCCCAGAGGTTAGGTCATTGCCTTGAGGTATAGGAAACTTGCAGCTTCTCCCGGTGGAGGAAAAGGGACTGTCTCACTGGAACAAGCCCAGTGCTTGTCCTGGTTGTTGTTAGCCAGTGCTGGCTGTTTCAGAGTAAGCTTCAGAATCCTTTCTGGCGGACCATATTCTTGGATCTAATTTCCTGTAGCCCAGCTTCATCTCTGTTATTTAAACTTGTTTTGTAGCTGGAAAAATAAATGTCGTGAATATTTAATATCCCATGTGTAAACACTTAAAGGTGGTCATATTCTTACAGCTCCACATATTCTTGCCATTTGTTATCTCTATTCATTTTATTCCTTTCAAAGATAAATCTGTAAGCTTTTGGCCTCAGTTCACTTCCACTTATCCCCATGGATTACTTATGCCACCCGTTTTGAAGTTGTTTTGGCAAGTGCTGAGGAGTGCCATAGGCTGCAGTTTTTGCCACTTGCACGAGATGTCTTTTCAGCTCCCAGTGCTTGTCCCACTGGAGGCCACCCAAAACACTCCTTCACTGGAAGGAGACCTACTAGCATGTTTCTTCTTACCTTGAATGACCAGCTACTCATGACCTCGTCATGAAATTTCCATCTCCTTTTGTCACTGCTTGTCGCTTTATGTAGTCACGGATGTCTGTTCAAGTAGATGCAGATCAGAAGACGATTTGCCAGCTCTGTAAATTCCTGATAGCCTTGTACACTTTCAACAGACCCAACCATCTGCGCACTGTGGAAAAGAAGACCCAAGATCTGAGCAGGCTCTGTACAGCTCAGAGATAACAATCATTTTCTAAGGCAGAGCATGAGACCTTTCCAGCAGAAAAAGGTCTTTTTTCACCAGGAATGTTTGCTTGCTTGTTTGTTTCCAGACCACAGGACATAAGGAGGAAAAACACACTGTTTTTCCTGGATTACACTTCATTTTGAAATGAGGCTTTATAAGACATTACTATTTCCATTTTTAATCACTCTTGGCAAACTCATTTACTATAAATTCAAAACGATCTGAGATCATGTAAACAAAGCGAGCACAAGCCTGCAGACCCAAGCAATCATCGCTGCCCTCGCTGTGATCCGTGGCAGAGGAACACGCTGGAGCGCGAGGCCGACGCTGGTGCCCGCTGCTGCAGACGGCTCCAGCCCTGCTCCACAGAGCCCCCCGCTGCTCACAGGCCCCGTGTTGCACAGGGCCCCTGCTGCGGCGCAGCCTGAGCCGCCCGCGTTGGCTGCTGCGGCCGCGAGACCTGCTGAATTCGGGGGCCATCTGAGTGCCCAAGGCCCGTGAAGGTGCTCACGGCAAGAGCAGCCTTGGGTGTCTGCATGAGCGTGTTCAAGGGGCAAGGACGACGTGCGTGTGGTGATGCTGGCAGGGCCCTCACCACGGGAGGCACTGGGGGTCCCTGTGCGTGGTCGGGACACCTAAGAGCCGCTGTGTTTCGGCCTGCCCTGCGCGCAGCACTCGCCCTTCCGGCTGCCAGGGCACGCATTTTGGGGCCAGGAGACACATGGCTGAGCCAGGGGACTCCCGGGGGGCCAATTCGGGTGCCCCGTAGGGTCAGGACCGGCAGCCTGCGCTCAGGCCACCGTCTCACACGTGATGGGGAATGTAACTAACGATCTATTTACAGCCCGGAGCTGAGCCCCACACCTGCCGTGGGCCCCGGATGCCCAGAGCCTTTACGGGAGCCCCTGCCGTCCCCAGCTGATTGCCGGCACCTGGAGCGTCCCTCGCTCGGAAGCGCCTGCACAGGCGGCCCCGCAGCAGGAAGGGCTCGGGTGCCTCCGGCCCTGGAGCTCCTGGCACCAGGTAAGGGCGCCGCGGGGGTCCCGTCCCCGCAACAGTTCCCCGGTAGTGCAGGAAGAGGGGCCGAGGGCCCCCTAAATACCCTGATAGTTTAAGCTGCCTTGCTATTGTTTGTCAAAGGGAGCAGATAAGCTCTTAAGCACGTGTACATTTATGCAGCCAAGCTGTGTTAAAGCCTGAATGTAGCGTTAAGCATTTAAGTCACCTTAGCTGCTTAAAGCAATATTAGTTGTTAAAATGCCTTTAATCCTTAAGGCAGTACAGTGCTTAAATCGCCTTAAATCTTCGGAGTGAGGAGAGAGGAAAAAGTCCCAACCACAGGACCCCCGAACTGAGGAGTTGCTGCGGTCCCCAGAAAAAAAAAACCTCCTTGCTGTTCTATGGTTGTGAAAACTAATGGGCTGCAGGGAAAATGGCTTGAGTCCTTGGTGCTCGTGGTGAGTTAAGAGGGAACACTGCAGTCTAAGGATCACTGGAGGGTGCATGGTCTGCACTATCTACAGCAAAACCATGCGGCTGTTTCTTTCAGAGCTGACCTTTGCATGAAAGCAGATTTTCTTCCCCCTCCTCCCCCCCTTTATTATTATTATTTTTTTCCTGGCCAGACCTGGAAGCTGATAACAGGAGAAAAATATACTGGCATATGCCTGGGTAGGCAAAGCTCACTTCAAAGTAGGTAGTAAAAAATACTATCAATTTGTTATTTTGCCTGTTAGGTAATTTTTCAAATCCCCATTCTGCTGCCTTGAGACCGCTTAGTTGCTTCCCTGGCTGTGTAGTGCGTGCGAGGCTCTTCACACCTGCTCTGCCGCCGTTACCCACTGACGTCCTTTACTGATTTGGTGCTTCAGGTAAAACCTGCAAAATTTCGTGACTTCTCTGGGCTAAATCCTGTTCTCTTGCAATTGCAGTTGTTGGGGGGGAGTAAACTTTTCCAGATTTTGACTGGAAACAGCATAGCAACAGTTCACGTCTGACTCTGTTTTGGTGGCTGATAAGATGGAATTTAACATTTTCCAGATCTAGGACTGGGTAGTGGTCTTGTTTTCTGTTACTACAACATTCACAAGCTCAGTTGTTATAAAATCTAAACGCTGTAGAACATTTTTTTTTTAAATCTGTTCTGAAAGGAACATCCTGAAACACCCTTTATCCTATTTTGTTTTTCACTTAAAATGTTCACTAAAAACAGCAGCAAGCTCCTGGTGTGACTGATCACTGGTTTGCAGGATGCTGAGCATGCGCTCGAGTGCCACGGTGCACTGTGCAAAGGGAAAAATCATGCCTGGAATATGAGAGAAGAGCCTCGTGGTGGCGCTTGTGCACACCATGTAGTATTTTATTTGCTGTTTTATCAAGTATTGATCTTCAAAATACCGTATTGAATACACCTGGGCTGTTCTCTAGGAACACCACATTTTGGGACTGGAATGCTAGACTGTGCTTAATTAATGTATGATGTCATGAAGGGATCAAAGTAGGGACCATTGCTTTCAAATGGAAA